AATCTACCCGTAGAGATCCGGACCCTTCCCACTCTCCCGGCCTTCCATAAAGCCGCCAAGACCTGGCTGTTTCAGCAGGTCCGGGGCTGTTGATTAATATCCAGCCCCACTTAGACAGAATGGATGGTGTGTGATTTTAATAATTGTATCTCTTATCTTAAATTTTTAAATGCTTTTTTATCTTGCCTGTGAGCTGCCCAGAGTCCCAATGGGAGTGGGCGGCATACAAATTTTATTAAACTGAAACTGAAACTGAATAGATAAATAAATGTAAGATATTTAGATGGATAATTAAAGTAGATAAAGGATATATGAGATAGATAATAGATAAATGAGAGAGAGACAGAGAGACAGAGAGAATGATAAATAAGCAGTAAATGAAACAAATGATAGTAATACCCTGTTTCCCCAAAAATAAGACCTCCCTGGATAAAAAGAAGCCCAATCAGGCTTTTGAGCGCATGTGCTAAAATAAGCCCTCCCCGAAAATATTGCAACACCGCAGCAGCAGCCGTGAGGTGAACACACTTGCTGCCTCCTGCACCTCAAAAATAATAAGACCTCCCCGAAAATAAGGCCAAGCGCTTATTTCAGGGGGCATCAAAAGAAAATAAGACCTTGTCTTATTTTCAGGGGAAAACGGTAGATAAGTGATAGATAATAGATAAATGATAGAGATATAATAAGGATAAATAAGTAGATGAAAGAAATGATAATGCCAGATAGATAATAGATAAATGATAGAAGGATAATAGACATAAAGAGATAGGTAATATAGATAGATAAAGAATACAAGAGATAGATAATGTAAGAAGCCTTCGACTTACAACCATAATTGAGCCCAAAACTTCTGTGGTCGAGTGAGACATTTGTTAAATGAGTTTTACAACCTTTCTTGCCGCCTTTATTAAGTAAATCTCTGCCGTTGTTAAGTCAGTAACCCAGTCGTTAAGGGAATCTGGTTTCCCCCTGACTTTGCTTGTCAGAAGGTTGCAAATAGGGGTCAGACACCTCCAGCTACGCAGCAACGGTCATAAATGTGAACCAGTTGCCGAGCACTTGGATTTTGATCAGATGGCCACGGGGACGCTGCGAAGGTCGTAAAAGTGAAAAGCAGTCATAACTCACTTTTTTCCGTGCCATGGTAAGTTTGAACCGTCACTAAGCAAACTTGTAAGTTGATGACTACCTGTATATAAATGATAGATTAGTGGATAAGGAATAAGGGGGATGGACAGATGGACAGACAGACAAGTGGGTGGGTGGGTGGAAAGATGGGTGGATGGATGGATGGACAGACAGATGAACAGACAAGTAGGTGGATGGATGGATGGATGGATGGATGGATGGATGGATGGATGGATGGATGGATGGATGGATGGATGGATGGATGGATAGACAGGCAGATGGACGGACAAGTAGGTGGATGAATTGATGGATGGATGGATGGATGGATGGACAGAAGGACAGACGGATGAGTGGGTCTGGAACAGACAAATAGGTGGGTGGGTGGATGGATGGATGGATGGATGGATGGATGGATGGATGGACAGAAGGACAGACAGATGAGTGGGTCTGGAACCGACAAGTAGGTGGATGGAGGGAGGGATGGAGGGAGGGATGGAGGGAGGGATGGATGGACAGACAGACGAGTAGATTGATGGATGGATGGATGGATGGATAGACAGGCAGATGGACGGACAAGTAGGTGGATGAATTGATGGATGGATGGATGGACAGAAGGACAGACAGATGAGTGGGTCTGGAACAGACAAGTAGGTGGGTGGGGGGAGGGATGGATGGACAGACAGACTGACGAGTAGATTGATGGATGGATGGATGGATGGATGGATGGATGGACGGACAGAAGGACAGACAGATGAGTGGGTCTGGAACAGACAAGTAGGTGGATGGAGGGAGGGATGGATGGACAGACAGACTGACGAGTAGATTGATGGATGGATGGATGGATGGATGGAAGGAAGGAAGGAAGGAAGGAAGGAAGGAAGGAAATGGAGACGGGGGTGTTGGTGGTTCAGTCAATCAGTCAGTCCCAAAGGTACATTTTGAAGGATGGGAGCAAAGGCTAGGCCAAGGAATGCCTAGTGGGGACTTGGGGCAGGGACCCATCTCTTCAGTCCATGATGTCATGGTGTCCTTGTATTGTGACATCCAAGAGGCTTCAGAGAACAAGGGGGCCATCATTGAAGGCTCCATCTATCATAAGGGTGGGGGATCCCTCTGCCTGAGAGGCAGGGGATATCAGACGGGAGTGGGGGGGTTCAAAGTTGGATCCCTCCAGCAAGCTCCTTACCTCCAGTGGTCTACACCAAAGCGGTGGAGTTAGTACTACAGGCTGGATCAGGCTAAAGTCAAGCGAGCAGCTGGACGTTCTGCGCCGGAGGAAGCCGTCTCTTCTGGCCGCAGCATTCTGTATGAATTTGCCCGTCCTGCCAATCAGGGGGGGTCTCCAAACTTTGGCAACTTTAAGGCTCGTCTGGACTTCAGCTCCCAGAATTCCCTAGCCACTCAGAACTGGCCTGATGGCAGCTAAGGAGGGAGAGAAACCCTCAGGTAGAGAGCTTCATGGCAGTGACCGCACCCCCCCCACCCCCCCATGCCATCCCTCTGCTAAACAACTAATCCCCTCCACACTGTCAAACTATCTAGTAAGGCTGTATTACCATTATTCTTCTCACCTTTCCTATTAACCTGTCTCCTTATCTTCCTATGACTGTAACTTTGCGGCTTCTATCTCTACGATTTATACTGTTTTATTTAATATCCCTGCGTGATTCGTGTTGATTGCTTATTTAGTATCCTAGTTGTACGTTAGGATTTATGATCAGAAAGCTCGGCAGCTCGGAGTTTCGAATCCCTAGCGCTGCGTAATGGAGTGAGCTCCCGTTACCATGTTTCCCCCAAAATAAGGCAGGGTCTTGTTTTATTTTGGCCCCCGAAATAAGCACTCGGCCTTATTTTCAGGGAGGTCTTATTATCTTTTGAGGTGCAGGAAGCGGCGAGCGTGGTCACCTCGTGGCTGCTGCTGTGTTGCAGTATATTCGGGGAGAGGGCTTATTTTAGTGCATGCGCTCAAAAGCCTGATGGGGCTTATTATCTGGGGAGGTCTTATTTTCAGGGAAACGGTACTTGTCCCAGCTTCTGCCAACCTAACAGTTTGAAAGCAGGTTAAAAAAAGCAAGTCGAAAAATAGGGCCACCTTTGATGGGAAGGTAAAGAGCATTTCGTGGACCTTCGGGAGTTTAGTTATGCCGGCCACATGACCACGGAGACGTCTTTGGGCAGCCCTGGCTCTTCGGCTTTGATACGGAGATGAGCATCGCCTCCTAGAGTCGGGAACGACTAGCACATATGTGCGAGGGGAACCGTTAGCTTTTATCACTTGTTGCTTGTATATACATTGAGAGCTTCTGCACCAAAGACAAATTCCTCGTGTGTCCAATCATAGTTGGCCAATAAAGAATTCTATTCTGTTCTGTTCTAGTCTTTTCTTTTGAAAAGTTTTTTTTATTTCAATTGCACAAAAACACACAAAAAAAGAATCATCCTTCATTACATCTTGTAGAAAGCGTGTCGTTCGGTTACAAATAACTTCTGTGCATTTCTTCCACAGCCATTACTTATAGTTCATATTAGATTATACACTTTAAGTCAAAAATCTTTGTATATCTTACTATCAATGTACCACAATTCTCATTTGAATACAATTATTTCTACCTGCTTTTACCTCAAATCATTCATACTTAAAGGCACAACCACATAATGTCATTCATTAGCTATTTCAAAAAATCCTCCAATAACATTACACCTTTATGACATCTTTTAAGTAAAAGTCAATTAATAAAGTTTCTAAACCTTTCTCCCCTCCCTTCCCCCCCCCCAAGTCTGAGAGTGGCAGTGGCTATTTGCTTTTTTTTCCCTTCTTCTGGAAACATGGATCAATATTCAGATGAGGAAACCTTAAAATTCCAAAATATCTTGGCTGGAATTCAAAATCTATTGGAAAGGTATATGGGAGAATTGAGAAGAATAGCAATAGCAATAGCAGTTAGACTTATATACCGCTTCATAGGGCTTTCAGCCCTCTCTAAGCGGTTTACAGAGTCAGCATATCGCCCCCAACAACAATCCGGGTCCTCATTTTACCCACCTCGGAAGGATGGAAGGCTGAGTCAACCTTGAGCCTGGTGGGATTTGAACAGCCGAACTGCAGAACTGCAGTCAGCTCAAGTAGCCTGCAGTGCTGCATTTAACCACTGTGCCACCTCGGCTCAAGAAGTTGGAAAGAAAGACTAGTCTTCCTCATAGCAAAAGATGATGGGGTTGCAGCCCCAAAAATTAAAGGGGAGAATGAAGATATAAAAGATAAAAGACAAGACAATAGATGGATTTATTAACGGAGCAAATGTGGGTGAAAGTGGAAAGAAGGGAATATGGAAGAGGGAATTCGACGAATTGGAGCCCTACCCCAGATTCCAAGATACAGAAGAAAAAAAAAAGGTAATGATGATGGACTTAAGAAGATAATTTTTTTCAGAAGCAAGATTGACAACCAAAGACAAGCTAATTTTAGTAGCAGCTGGTGGGCAAGGGGATCATCTGAGAGACCCTTCAAGCAATAAAGTGCGGAGAGAAGTCTATAAAAACTTTATAAAGGAGATAAAAAGAAGACGGACACCACAATTGGCAAGAGAGATAAGACTGTTTTGTTACTGGAAAGATACAAGTTAACAATGAAAGTTGATAATAAAAAAATTAGTTGATTTTGGTGATTAATAAGTAGGAATTCGGTAACTCCTAGATTGTTTTAGATTGTTATTAAATGTTTATTCATTAACAAATAATTAACTATAATAACAATAATGAAATGATAATGGATACAGCTTAATGATACATACATGTATTAGCAAACTAGCAAAAGAAATTTGGATATAAATTGCAAATTGCGACCTGGGAAAAAGACCTATAAATCTTATTAACAAATTTTTATTTAGATCTTCTCATAAAGGTGTAAGGGTTTTTTTAGGGTCTGACGAGAGGAGATGGGACATAAATAGTAAATGATTTTTAGCCAATTACAACAACAACAACAACAAGGAAATGTCAATGGACGTTGTTTAATAATATATTCATGCTATGGTATTGGCAAAAGTAACTTGGATATAAATTCTGTTCTGTTCTGTTCTTGTGAGTCCTTCGGGAATTGTTTCCTTCAGCGGTTCAAATCTCACCGGCTCAGGGTTGACTCAGCCTTCCATCCTTCCGAGGTGGGTAAAATGAGGACCCGGATTGTTGGGGGCAATATGCTGACTCTCTGTAAACCGCTTAGAGAGGGCTGAAAGCCCTATGAAGCGGTATATAAATCTAACTGCTATTGCTATTGCTATTTCCTTCAGCCCTTGGATTTCCTAGTGGTGTTCTATCCAAGCATCTATCACTGTTGATCTTACTTGGGCTTCCAGGCCTAACTGGCTCCACCTCTTGTCATCTCCTATTATGGTTTGAGTTTTTGGCAGACCCTGGTGCTCTCTGAGCCTAGCTGGTCTTCTTTGCAGACGTTTCATGACCCAGCAAGAGAATAGCATCAGTGCTAGAAGCGGGGGGGGGGGGATTGCTCTCTGTTTATATGTAGATCCTCCTAGCACACAGGATGTTACCTAGTTGGGTAATCAAAGGTCTGCGTGGAAACTCAGAGAGCACCACACAATTATTCTACCCTTGCTGCTCCTCCTCCTCCTCCTCTTCCTCCTCCTCCTCCTCCTCCTCCTCCCAGAAGGAGGAGGAGATGTTACTAGTTGGACTTTAAAATATCTGCAACAAAACCACCCGGCTGAAAGTGGGAGGACTCTACTGTCCTCCTCCTCCTCCTCCTCCTCCTCCTCCTCCTCCTTCTTCCTCACTTTCTCCGAGCCGCGGTGATTGTTCTCTAGCTGGATCATGAAACGTCCGCAAGAAATCCACCAAGCTCAGAAAGCACCAAGGACTCCAGAACTGTCCTCCTCTTTCCTCCTCTCTCCTGCCCCTCTCCCTCCTCCTCCTCCTCCTCCTCCTCCTCCCTCATCCCCCTCTCTCCTCCCTGCACATCGCACTCGCTTCTAGCCCGTGGTGACATTCTCTACTTGGGTCATGAAACATCACCAAGTAAAGAGAAGAGATTGGAAAGCACCAAGGTGCCCCCCAATCGTCCTCTTCATTCTCATCCTCCTCATCCTCCTCCTCCTCCTCCTCTTCCTCCTCCTCCTCCTCCTCTTCCTCCTCC